ATGACATTATAGAAAATGTTTATAGATATTTATAAATAATAAGCAGCAAATGGGGCTAGGTTTTATGGCAACATTTTTACCCGCACCTTGCCTTTTACGCACATACGCACTTACGCATATACTTCCACATATGTGGGATGATGAAGGTTAATATCACTTATAATAAGAATAACAATAAATGGGACCTAATGCTCTCAAACCCTACTTCTTATCATGTACATTAGGAAAGAGAGTTGTCACCTTTTTAGAACGAGCATTAACAATGACTTACGTCAGTTTCTGACGCGATTATTGACGAACAGTGGCTCTAGAGGTGAGAAGATTCGATCAGGAAATCTGATGTAACGCGGTGAAACCCTGAACATATAAAAGCCTCTTAGGTGGCAGCGGCAGAGTATTCCTATTTCAATTCCCAACACTCACATTTAACTATACCATCAAGGCGCGTTGGGCCAACTTTAGCTTTTGAATAAGAAAAAAGTAAGATATGTTCACCAGGCCTCATAACTCTAAAAATATTAGAACTGTAACCCTCTAAACGGCAGACCCTGAACTTCAATTTATAGTTTCGAAGGAAGAAACATCTCCACAGTAACGACTTCCTCCGAGTGGTACTTGAGATTCTAAAAATTCGATAAAGCGTCTCGAAGCTAGGCAATAACTTGGTTAGGTATCACGAGTACATATAAAAAGCAGAGTGAAGTTCACGGAGTATCAAATCAAGGGGAAAGGAAAATTTCCGTACACTGGAAAGCGTTCCACGAAACCATCAATAACTCCCTCCTTGTGCTCTTTGCACACCGATGCGTATTCCTACAGCACCATATAAGCTGGGCGGGAACTATGGTACAGCCGAACCAAGGGTGGGTTTTCACGCGAAAATACATCAAAGATATGGAATAAAATTTTTCAAACGAACCTTCGTTTTCGAGAAATTCTATGTTGAAAATTAGGTACGCATAAGACTGAATACGGTTTGGCTGGCTTGTCCGACTACTTCTTGCTTTTTCTACTTGTCTTCTCGGGCGTTTTCAAGCCTCGTCGGTCACTTCTTTCATTGTTCCTTAATTTCCTTTCATCTTTCCAATCATCTTATTTTCATTGTTCCTTCGTTTTTCTTTGTCGTTTCCAATCATCTTTCCATTGTTCCTTAATTTTTTTTTTTTTAAACAACATACTTGTTCTTTATCATGAATTGCACATCAATAATATAAAACTTTTAATAAAGTTACTAACCACTGAAAAATTGTTAACAATGTTGCAATGAAGTAAATTGATCATCATCGCAAAATAATTATTACATAGATTTTTTTTTTAATCAAATATCTTCTTTGGGATATATTAGGGATTTCAGCTCACTGTGGGATTCGTCATAGCGTACGTGGATCGAAATAACTTTTTGTTACTCACGTCACGTACAAGATCCTCTTTCTTACTTCTTCGCGACTAGTGATGCGACCCTCCCTTCTGTGGAGTCTCTCTTCATCCCTTCGTCGATTCTTTGCAACATATGGCCGAAGATCGATTGTACAAGCACGTGGAAGGCAATTAATCTACTGTGTCTGTTTATACGGTGAAACGTTTTCGCAGGAAGCAATCACGTATTTTTAAACATTTTCTATGCGAAACTCGTGATTGTTCATCGCTACTTAGTTATCATAATTCACTAAGCAAGAAGGATTATAAAGACTGATATCTGATAACGAATAAATAAAAATTAAAAAGAGAATTACATTATGAATAGAAAATCAAAAGGAAGCTTAACTTCTCACAAAAAATTGAGAGTTTTAAAAGATTTCTAAATGCTAAAGTAAAACAGCATGTAAACTATCAGTTGCTATTAGAGTCTAGACGTGATTCCTGACTTAGCATGACAGAGGACACTTAAGTGCCCAAACCAAGAGTCCTAATAATAAAAGCCAAAAGGGCGAATTGCGCATTAAACCGCGAAGTTAGATGGCAGTCTTCCTTAGTACGATAGCTCTCTGTACGTGTATTGAAAACGTTCGTTGAAACGAGGTAGCCACACGACAAAACAGTACGCGACATGCGAGCCAGTGCATGGACGACAGTCATCGATCGACGGGCAGCCTTCATGATAGAGCAATGACATGTTACTAAATATAGCTTAAGCATAGACCTGGATTTATTGTTCGCAGGCAAATATCTGTGCTATGCTTTCTACTAGATGACGTTGGTGTGTGCACATCGCATCATTGTACAAGGAAAGTTAATTATAACGTTATGTACTTTGACGTATCACTCCTTTATCGCGTATTCAAGATTCAAAGGTGGCCCATTTTAATATTAGGTTCGCTTCAAGTATCTTTCCGTGTTCTAAATTTAGTTTCATCGAGGTATTTGGCGATTAAATATTATTAAACAATATTTAATATTATTTTTTATTGAAAAACTGTTATATAATCAGGAAGTTACAGGAAGAATGGGATATCTTGGTTGGTTGTAAATAAATGATAAACTCTTAGAGAGATAACTTATCAGTTTCAACAAACAAACACGATGATAGAAAAACAAATTTTATTAAAGTTATTTATACTAAGGTTTCAAGGTCGTCGATGTTTACTGAAATGGAATCATTCGTCTTTTTAGTAAAGCGTGTCTCCGTGCATACAAAAACATTAAAAAGAAAGAGCTGAATCTCTAATAATACTTTTACGTGTATATTCAGTTAGGAACAATTTTATATAAATTAGATATTAAGTTAAAATTGAGAATGATCTTTTCTTTAAGAATAAATTAAGTCCAAGTTAGAGAAAGATACTGAAAGATTTCAAATATTTAGAGACAAGGTATTAGTGTCGCATTATTGAAAGCCATAAGCTACAGAGCGTATACGACATAAAATAAAGGGGGTGCGGGTTCAAATCTTCCGGAGACACGCTAAGACACGAATTGTCTTTGATCTTACGAGAGTAATATACTTCTCCAACGAGAAGATGGGCAGACGAGCGAGTAAAATAACAAAGGATGTCTGAGGGACCTGTGAGATCAAAAGATAGATTTCGTTTTTTTCTAGACCCATCGGACTTCAAACTAGATTACTATGTACAATAAAAAACGACGAACTATTAGCAAATAATTATTATCATAAAAGTAGTATAGATGCTTTTTTGCCGTAAAGAACCAACTGACTCCTTTTACAGAATTTTAAACTCTATAATAAATAAGCATTTCCAAGTTGTAATAGTGAATGTTACGAATCTATACCTTCCAGAAGTAATTTACAGACTAATAGGGTCAGTACACGTAATTAACAAAGTTGCGGTGCACAATGTAACAGAGCCAAAGTCATTAATAGTTTCAATAGGTTAATCAATATTTTACAAAATAGTTTGTGCTGAAAGTAAAGTTACGCAAGGTCTATTTTCTTATCAACAGAAGGTGATTAAAACATTTGGTAGTTGGTTATTCAGTTCGAAGATATTTTTGGATAAAAATCTTCGATATTCACTCGTTACAAAAATATTGAATTAAAAGAGTAGTATTACCTTCTATACTCGTTGCACTTGTTTACAATATCGAGCATGATTAAAACATGAACCTTGAATATAGTATTCTGAAAAATTTCACAATATACAGAGTAACTCATAAATATAGAGTGAAATTTTCCGGCAATTGCAATCCTCGGCTCTAATGCACTTGGTGTTTATGTGAAAGGCGAATTCTACGAGTTTTTCCCTTATTTTCTACGAGTTAAAAAGTATAGTTTGTGCAGCTTATGCTCACGTGACATCTTATATTTATAATAATACGAAGAGCTTCGCTTATAAAAATATAAATAAGACGTGCAGAAAATTTTCGACCACACAATTTATTTAGTCCGGAATGCAGATTCATTTTGTTCGTGATGAAACGTAATTGTGAGCCACCCTCTTGAGTTTGCAAATGCTGACACATTCTACAACGCTATGAACCCAATAAAACAAAGTTTGCCCTCAGTGCTGTAGAATGTATAAGCACTTGACCTGCACTTCTACCTACGGCAGATAAATATTCAAGTAACGTTAACCTCCTCTGCGCTTGCTCATCACTGGAAAATCTGCTTCGTATGGAACCACATCCTAGCATAATATAATCTCCAAAAATTAGACCAATAAACCGCGTCAAATCCCACAGACGTCACCAAATAAACTCTCTTTTCCTATGATGGAAAAAAAAAGATTTGTCAACTGTGCAACAATTCCAGCACGTTCAATTACCCGAAACAGCTGACGTGTTTCACTGAGGACATATTTATATTAGAAGGAAGAAATCTCTGTGATTTTGTTTCAACTCACGCCCACCAAAGCAGAGCACGCTCGCGGTGTCTGATGCTCGCGTCGCTTAAGGCAAATTGCGGTATGAATAACGCACCACCATGCTGGCCGAGACCTTGATGCTCTCAGACTGCGTTTACCGAACTGACCCAGAACTTTATCCGGATTACGGATTTAGTCTTAGAATAAGGTGACTGGAAAAAGAACTATCGCGAGATTGTTAATTGGGATGAGTCTATTTATCGAATTTTTTTTTAATCGAGGATTAGGATACCTTAATGAGCGTCAAATGTTAAGTGAATGTAATAAAAACTCTACACGAGTATTGTTTAAAAAGTAGATTGTTCAAATGTCATTCAAATATGCGGAAGATGTTAAAGAAATGTGTCTCATGAGACACCAGATGACACTATCCATTGTTAAGATACTCGAGGTGAGTCATTAATAAAGTACTACAGCTGAGTCATTAATAAAGTTGAAGTTATTAGAAGCTATCAGGTTTAAGACGTCCCTCGAGGAACATGGCTCTGACATTCCACTAGCATCGCTAATATAACAGTTTCACTGAAGGTCTGCGAACTACACTTGAACCGTGCTGAAGGTCTAGAATTATTCGAGTGGTTTAACAATTGAGCATGTTGTACATATTGAAATGGTACGAATAAATAAATATTGAAAAATTTAATAAATTCAAAAATACAGTCAATAAATTCTGCGTTGCAGGTGATACTCGTCAAGTGGAACGAGCCTTACCAGAAGTTGGCTTCGTGCGATAGTTCCGGTGTCATCTTTGTGTGGATTAAGTACGAGGGAAGATGGAGCATAGAACTGATCAACGACAGAAGTACTCCAGTCACGCATTTCTCTTGGTCGCACGACGGTCGGATGGCTCTCATTTGCTACAGGGTAATTCCACTTTAAAAATGCATCTAAGACACTCCGTTAGAAATATAATAACAGGGAATTAATAATATTTCACCATTGTGTCTAAAAAGTTACACTTCTACCGAGCAACATTCCATGCATCCACTTTTTTCCTTCAGGATGGTTTCGTGCTAGTTGGCAGCGTCGCTGGTCAGAGGTACTGGTCATCGATGTTGAACGATAAGGCTACGATCACCTGTGGCATTTGGACACCAGACGATCAGCAGGTGAGTTGTAATACAAAATTATTTGGCGACACAAATTCTTAATAAAACCATAATTTATTGAATATCTTGTTCTTTTCGCTCCATATACCAATGAATATATTAAATCACCTTGTCGATACGTTTGAATAAATTATTTACAAAAATAATGAAACTGTTAAAATGACAGTTACATGATACTTTACTCGATATAACATTTTTTAAACTAATTCTATCTACAAACTCTTGCGGCATACTCGAAACATGATAGGTCAATATCTGCTTGGAATCTTGAGACATCCTCGTTATTATAGCGTTGTGTTACACTTCATTGTAATTGCGAGACTCTAATTACAATGTAAAAATATCCCCAGTACGGACGACAAGATGTCGCGCTAATGGTGCCACGCATTGCATCATTAAAAAGTTTCCGTGTAATTTTTTGACTGAATACAATGGAAATCAGAAATCTTAAAGAAAGAAGCTTTTACTGAGAAGAAGAATTATTCTTACAATTATCCTTTCACATTGTTTAAAATATTTTCCAATCATCTTTCTTTTATGGAGCTTTCGAATTCCATCCCATCTCGTGCCCTGTAAAGGTGCGACACGCCATTGAGAATAAGAAAACTTATTCGTCATTCTTTGCTCATGCAATATTAATACCGATATCAACAGGTATATTTCGGAACAACGGCGGGGCAGTTAATAGTAATGGATGTTCATGGAGCGATGGTGTCGGAGGTACAACTAGCAGCTGGCGTGACTTCAATGGCTTGGAGCGCCGAGAAGTTTACGATGGAAGAAGGAGACGACGATTTAACGAACGACAGATCGCACAGAGGTACTAATAGTCTCGCGTAGTTTTCTGTAAAATGGCGCACTTAAACGATTTTACGTACTTGGTACGCGCGACTCGATGCATTCGAACGAGTTGGGAATCTTGGAGGGACATCACGTATACTTTTATCGGTAGTTTAATGCAAACACACCCACAGCAACGTCTTTAATAGAAACAGTACTTAAAAAGTTTGTAACAGCTCGTTTTCGCGGCAATTGGCGTTAAACGAGTAGAAAAGATCAAAATGTACAAGACAGTCAGCTTTATAGTTGAGACAAAATCAAGTGGTATCGATTGAGAACCTTAAAAACTTTGTAATCAGGTGTTTCTGGAATTTTTGTTTTAAACTAACAATAAAGATCAAAATGTAGGAAATTGTTTTATAGTCGAGGCAACATTAAGAAATAATACTAATAGAGTGTACTATAGAAGTTAGACGACGTAATACGAACACCTTCGATTCAACTGCCTGCTCCCACCTGTTAAACACGGAGGAGGGACGATTTGGGCGGTTATATTCACCCAACCCCAGTATTACCCTAATCGGTCATATTACTGCCAGCGAATGCTTGGACAATCCACATGATTAGGTCTATCCTACATTGTTTCCCAACTATGATATTCTTCAAGATGATATTGCACACAGCAAGAAAAGTTGAGTCTCGATTTCAGCAGCGCAAAGATAAACTTTGCGACATCTTTCCTGACCCGCGGAGATACCTAATTTAAATGTCATTGAATTAAGATAAACTTCAACAACTTCCCTGACCCGCTCAGCCACCTGATTTAAATATGATTGAATTACCGTTGATAGTTTCGTAGAACAGGATGAAAAGTAGATTTCTTCCTCTCCTACCTTTAAAGGAATTGGAAGGCTCGGAAAAAGGACGAGACAACGTTTCAAACGATTCAAAGGTTCTATGAACTCGTTCAAAGAGAAAACTGTATCAAAGGCAAATGGTTATTCAATTCTTTATTAATATAACAGGTGTTGAAGTTATTTTGTCTTCGTTCTGTAGTCGTGCTATTCTTTGATGTAGATTACTTATGCTGTGATTGAATTTAAAGAAATCAAATGATCTATTTATATTACACGGTTAAGTAAAATGGAGTAAAGAATCGAGGGTTCGAGGGAAATCTAACGAGACAAATGTTAAAAATATGAACACGCCTAGGTGAAGAAACTTAAAATTCAAATTGAAAGCCTATTCATAGATTCTCGATGTACTAATTCGTGATACCTGTCTAGTTTATCAATCATTCTCCTATGTATTATCAACATTGGCGTGGCAGGCAGATTCGCATAATTAAGGGAACGGGAAATACGTATGTATTTGCAGACGACCGGAATTACGTGCTAGCAGTCTGCCTCGCTGACGGCAGTATCGTCATGCTTCGATCGTTCGACGATGTGTCGCCCATCACAATACGTACAAATCTAAAGGCGCCGTTACACGCTGAATGGAGTAATTCCCGAAAACTGTTAGCGATCGCTGGAACGAAGGATCCAGACAGCCCTCAGAGCAGCCCCCACGAGTACACGAACCTTTTGAAATTTTATTCGGTCACTGGCGCCCTTGTCTACACCACGGCGATACCGTACACGCAAGTAGGTACTTTTCTAAAACGAACGATTTTTACATAATCCTGAAGAAATGTTAACCCTGGCACTCGGATTCAGTGATAAGCGTTTCTGGGAAAAGTTAAAATTCTATTTAAAGAAAGCAAAATTATTAGTGAACTCTGAAAGCTCTCTAAAAACTCCACTCAAAGGCTATTTTCATAGCTTCTTACTTTCTTCCTTATCGATATCAGTGTGCAGTATCGGCGCTCACGTGGGGTCACAACGACAGAAGACTTTTCGTGGCGACTGGAGCACGCGTCCACGCAGCATGGGTGTCAAGGTAATGAGCGCACCTCCACGTTGATATTTTTGTTGATTTTTGCGCAGAAGGGTCTGACACACGATGCATTGATTCTATAGGCGAGTAGGTTCGCTGCAGTTGTTGTCTCGTTTGGCTGTGAGAGCAGCTCTGATAAGGGAGTCCTGTGTTCAGCAACTTCCATTGCCACCGAGATTGAGGGCATCCGTGGCGGCGCTTTTTGCTAGCACTATAAGGTAAGAAGATTCGATTTTTATTGTATTATCTATGGCAACTGTGGATTTTGTATCATTTAGGTAGATGTTTGTGTATACTACACTTTTTTTATCTAAAGCAACGTTTGTCCTTTCAGTCTACCACACGATACCATAGTAATTAGTTCCATCATAGAATCTGGCATTGTAGATTATCACGGGTAGACAATGTCCATCAGTTTACTTCATAGATATAAATCTAGTAGAGTGAAACCCGAGGAAACCGCTCTCCAATTTCCTGTCGTTCGATCCGACGTTGTGTAAAATCGATGTCCAATATTGCTCTTGCAATTCTAGAGCGATACGTTGGGTACCTGTCACGTTGAAGCCATGTGAATTCTCTATTATTCAGCGGAATATCGATATCTGCATCAATTACCCCGCAGGAAGTAGAAAACCTGTATAGGTAATTGATTAGGACGCTTCCATTGGTGCGTTGCTGGTAATGACCGTTATTTTGGACACGTTATTTTGGATGCGTTAATATTCGTATCAGATGATCAGAATTTATTTATAACGAATAAAATTAAAAGAATAATTCCAATTAAAAAAATATTTGAAATAATAATTAAATATTTAATAAATTAGGGATGCAGAGCGAGAACTCGTCATCTTCATAAACGAAGATTTTTAAAAAAACGAAAAAACCGTCTTTCCTTGTCCTTAATTAGTATACTTAACATTGTGGTGGACAATCTGATTTTGATCAGTATATAGCACGTCCCATCTTGTTTTCAGGTGTTCGGTACCAGAACCAAGGGAGCTGAGGCGATTCGTGTCGCGTCCCCCTCCAGGAGGAGGAAGATTGCACTGCACCATGCTCAGACACGCCGTGGAACCTGTTCCCTGTTACACATTGTATTTAGAATACCTAGGTGGACTGGTGCCCCTCCTGAAGGGCAGGAGGACTAGCAAAATCAGACCTGAGTTCGTGATATTCGATCCTCAGAGCCAGGATACTCTCCACGTCTACGAGGACACGTTGCAATGCCCGTCGTTCAGTGACGGGTCCGATACGGAGAGGGACACAGCTGACTTGTGTGGGTCGCCTAGAAATAAAAGGAAAAATAGGAGGAAACGAGAAGAGAAGCTAAACGAGGAGAGCGATGATCTGACATACGTTGACACGTTACCAGAGGTAAAAGTCATTTGGATTTAAAGGTCCTACGCTTTCTAAACTAAAAGTCTTCAAATTTTGAGATCTCTGAATCCTAAAATTTCTAGGCTCTAAGATCTCTAGGCCCTGTTATCTCTAAGCTCTGTGATCGCTTAGTTGTGGGATCTTAAAGTACCGGAATCTCTAGGTCCTTAGATGTCTAGACTCTACGATCTCTAAATCCTGAGATTTATAGATTCCAAGTTTTCTAAGCCCTAGAAATGGATTTTTGGCTAGCTTTTCGATGCAAATCCCTCAATTGTGGCGACGTAAAGTATCGCGTGACCGGCAGTGCCTCAAGACGTATCTCTTTACAGCACGCGAGGCTGGTCGAGGTAACGTCCAATATCTGGGGCACGAAATTCAAGTTTCACGGATTGGCGGAGTCGGTGCCCGCCAACTTGGGTCAGGTCACTTATCGAACGTCCCTGCTGCATTTGCAACCGCGACAAATGACCCTAGTGATGACGGAGCTGCGTGACGACGTGCCAGCGGGTACGTCAACTACCAAATTGAATAATCAGAAACCAACAGGAATGCTATTATTACCTTCATTGCTTGCCGATGCCCTTACTACCATACCATTCCTCTTAATTCTTCCATTTATTCTCTAATGGAACAGCAGATCTAATATTTTGATTAAAAACAAACTTAACACAACCTGCTATATTGTTCTCGCAGGTCCAGACCCCACGTTCAACCCAAATTTATTTTCCGAGGACGAGGAGGAATCGTTCCAGGAGCTTAAGAGTGCCTCGCGAAGCACCTCCGAAGCCCAGCCCCCGCCGATCGCCCCCATGACCCCCCGTAACGCGCGACTGAACTCCAATCGTCCAAAATCTCAAATATCCAATCAATTTATGACCAGCGAAGCCTTACCAGCGGCCCTGTCGAGGGTCGAGAATTACGAGAACGAGTTACCCTACGTGGACCTGCAGGAAATGGGGAATTTGTACGAGAACTTGAGGACCGGCCCCACGAACACCTATCGAACGCCATCGAGGCACAATCCGCCGAGGTGTTGCGACGTGCCAGCTCTCCAGTCCCCTAAAAACGCGGTGGCTCCCACCCAGACCATAATCGCGACTTCGAACACGGGTACAGATTACTCCAACAACATCCAAAGGATGAAAACCGTTCTGGCCGATCAGCAGGCCGGCATGGTGACGAAGAAGGAGCTGGAGAACAATAAGTTCAATCAGATCTCCCAAGACGAGAAGACCGTGCTGACCACCTGTCCCTCGACCATCATCCCCATGTCCATACACAACGGTCAGACCTCGAGCACCGAAGCGTCCAGCAGTCGAGGATGTTCTCAAGGGTCCATCGTGAACGGGCTGGACAACGGCAACGGTTGCAGTCAATCTCAAGCTATATTCCTCAACGGAGTGCAGGGTAAAAATAATCACAACAGTAGCAGTGGTTCGAGTAACGTCAACCAAACGTCATCGATGAGCTCTTACTCTCATAGTCAGGGCCACGGACCCTACGCCAAGAACGGCATACATCTGGCCAGCAATCATTCGCCAGCCTGTTCTTATCAGTTTCCAGAAAACATCGATCAATGCGTGGGACAATCTTGCTCGCACTGCACCTTGAAGTTCAAGGACTTCAAGTCGCACGAATCTTGTGGGAAAATAAATGCAAGCTATTTCAACGCGTGCAGTTCCGCCAGCAAGACTGATGAGATGCGTTTCATTGACGACGAGAGTCATGGGGAGGCTGCTGCATTGGAACAGTCTCGAGGAGTTCACAGGACTCCTACGGTCGTCAGCATCGGTCCTCTCTGCATCAACGACTCCATCGTCAGAAGTTGCAGCGTGGGCTACTTGGACATGGTGGACGCGCAACTGGTACCCTGCGACGTGGCCCTGAAGATGCTCAGGAAGGAAGCGCCCAACAAGCGGCTGGTCCTGGTTTCGAGGAAGACCAAGAGGAGAAAAAAGAACAAGACCCAGCACGATATCGGCCAGCAAACGTCCAAGTCACCGAGACTCCGCAACTGCGGCAAGTCCAAGAGCTTGGACTCCAGCGACATATTCCCTGCTAACGAGCACATAGCCTCGCCACCGCAACTGCCGGAACACGTCGAAGAGGCAGTCGGCGCTACTAGCTTAGAAATGACCGAGGATAAGAGTAATGAATCGCTGGAGGAATCGCCAGAGGCTGTCGAAGCGTCGGTTCAATACGCGAAGCACGTCTGCCGATTACCTGCCGTTAAACCAAGCCCTATAGGGAGTTGTAATTCACCCGTTAGGTGAGTCAATGGTGAGGTCAAACTGGGTCAGACTGTTGTTGTTTATGGTAATATTTGAGTGTGTCTTGGAGGTTTTTTAATGTTTGAAAAATTTTTGATTTTATGGCTCTTTTAAGAAGAGGTATTGAGATCTCTAGGCGTTGGAATCTCTCAGTTGTGAGATTTCTAGGCTTTGAGATCTCTCAGGTGTCGAGATCTCAAGATTCTGGGATTTGAAAGTCCCAAGATTTCTAGGTGATCTTTAAGGCTTAGGATCTCTAGGCCTTAGGATCTCTAAGCTCAGGATCTCTAGGTTCTAGAATTTCTAAGGCTTAGAATCTATAAACCTTGAAATCTCAATGTTCTCAGATTTCTAGAGCTTAGAATGTATAGGTACTAAGATTTCTAGATTCCATGTCTTGTGATCTCTAGCCTCTGGAGTCTCCAAATGCACATCCATAGACACTGGAATCTCTAGATTCTATCACGATAAGTAACTGCTTATTTAAACTCTATTTCTTACTAATTCATCTCGCAGACTATCCAGTCCAAGTGGCTCATTAGCATCATCCCTGGACGGTCTGGCAGCTCGACTTCGAGATTTCGACGAAAGCCACTCGTTGCCGCCGCCATCTCCTCGCCCATCGTCCAGGTAAAATATGTTAACTCACGCAAGCCGTTCAATAAATCCACTTTTCACTCAGAACTTTTTTCAGGCTGCCCAGAAGTTCCCCCAGTAGTCCAGCGCCGTCGAAGAAATGCAAACGGCCTGCATCAGCTTCGCCGATTAGGAGAAGGCTGCTATCCAGTCCTTTGTTGAGCAGAAAAACGCGGAAGAGTCGAGGCGAGAGTTCGGACGAGGAAGGATTGCTTCAAGACGAATCGTCGGGGAGCTACAGAGACCTCGAGACGTTCCAGAAGGCACAATTACGCCAAAAGGTTGGCAAAAAATTATAAATATAGGTACACACAAGATTCGTCGATAAATGATGTTGAACTTGTAATTTACAACGTGCAGTTGAAGCAGAGGGGTGGAGGGATATCTGCTCACAAATCGGAGGCAGTGAGGCATGAGCTTGTGATGCACAATAAGGCACCAATGTGGAACGAATCCAGCCAGGTGTATCAACTTGATTTTGGCGGCAGAGTGACTCAAGAAAGCGCGAAGAACTTTCAGATAGAGTTCAAGGGCCGACAGGTAGAAAAACGATCGTTTAATCCACATTTTCGTTCCGTGTGGTCGATTAACCACCTTTGTTTCAATCTTTCGCTAGGTGATGCAATTTGGAAGAATAGATGGGAACGCCTACACATTGGATTTCCAATATCCTTTCAGTGCTTTGCAAGCGTTTGCCGTTGCCTTGGCCAATGTTACACAACGGCTCAAGTAACTGTTAGTCGCCCGGTTCTTCGTTTGATACAAGTATGGAAATTATTTCAATGAAGTCAAGGTATTTCATTCTTTTTTTGTTTTAAGAATATACTTCTCAGGAACTGGTAATTAATAAGATATATTTAAATTTATCTTTGCACGAATATTTAACGTTCAGAAATTAGTTTTTGTTGACCTACCATATCGTTAAACATATAGCAGCTTACGATATCGTTGTGCTAACATTACTCACGGACTTTGGTATCTTCCGTAACACACTTTCCAACACACAAAACAATTTTATACAATAGACTCTTCAAACTTTTTGGACTTCCAACACGTTGCATAAATTATCATGTTTATAATTTACCGATCAACAAGTGTTTCATTTTCGCTCGTTACGAAATTCCTTTTGGTTTTCAGGTTCGCGTGAAATTTGGAATACCAGAAACGCTACCCGGAACGTATGCTGTAATTAAATCGAAATATTCGTCCAAAAAGAAAAAAGAAAGAAGATGAAGCAGAAGAAGAAAAAAACTAGCAAGTCGTAGAGGAATTAAAGCTGTAACAATACGCTACACATAGAATTACAAAGAATGAAAGACATCTTTAAGTACAGCTTTTAAGCGTGTAATAGAAGCCGTATGTCTTTCGATTATTAAAACTAGTGACGGGCTAGAAATAAGTTCTTTAAGTAAAACAAGCGAGCATCAACCAGCCATCGCCACGATAGAGAGGGATTTTTGCACCGAAACCTTGAGCCGAAAGCATATGGCCTTGTGTGTAGCGCGAAAACGAAAACACAAACCCTTCTTGAGGCCTTACGCGAGCCTCCCGAAACCAACGCCTTCAAGCTAATCTAAACTCGACACACACTAACTTCACTTCGCGGATCTTACAAAGAGAGAACCAGTAGTGTCTGACGACGATTTCATACGAATTCATATGGAATGGTAGCTTTTACTAACTACTAAGTCCTACTCATACTAATAGTCAGCAATAGATGTTCAAAGTACATCTATCTTCTGTCAAAAATTAGTGGCTAATACAGCCAGTCTCATAAATATTCGTACCTTATACGTCTATTAAAGAAGTTTGTCTAAATTAAATAATAGATTCGATGTTTTCAAATAAATGCATATATATATAACGAAAAATTTATTTAGAAACATCAAACCTATTATTTACATTAGATTTTCTTCAATAAACACAGAGGATACGAATATATCGTACATTTATGGGACTGACTGTGTATGATTAATACACTTACGGTTTTCGTAGACACAGACCTACCATTTCATATTAATTTCATGGAAATCATCACTACTGGCCCTCCTTTTGTCAACGTGGACAGTTGCAGAACGATTTGAATTCGAGCGGGACACAATGGATTCTGTGGCAAGGGAACCGTAGTGAATAAGATTTCGTTGAATGCTTCTTCGCCGTACCGTCCAAAATATTTCGTTTCTCCCAACTCTTCGAGTGCTCATTTTTGTATAGTTTATGCGACACGTTGAAGTCTAGTAATGCTGTTGAAAGTTCACCTCGTTCATTTTTGCGGTCCGCCGGGGATGTATTCGAATTTTATATACATATATATTGACGGACTCGCATAACCGCGCGAGCGTTTCATGTTGTTCGATTTAAATGTTTCTTAACGCATATTATAAAATTAATGATAACGCTAAATGGTAACTTTTAACGTCCGGCCTGTGTTCTTCCTCGTCGAAGCAAGGCAGGCGAATTGTGGGTGAAGGGGGGATGGGGATGGGAATGGGTGAGAAATCAGATTAACGCGAGGGATGAAAAGTATTCGTCTGTATGCCAATGTGTGTGCACGCATCAAACTAACTGTCGTCTATACTTAACCCATGATCGTTGTACTTCATTCGCCTAATTGTAAGTAACGTGAAAGATCAACGTCAGGCCTACGCGAGAAGTGCTTAAGGGATACTTTTTCGTTGAATCAAAATTTCGAGAGTGGGGTGCCTGGAACGATGATCGGTTCCTGATAAGATAGGGTCAAATTCGAAGAATAGCTCGAGTCAGATACCCCATCTTTCAAGGATAGAGGCACGTAGTAATACCCTGAAAGAGGAAGTATGTTATTCTGGGTCGAGGAAATGGCCTCGAGCGGCCAGTTGAATTTGCATGTAAACTGCGAACGCGATTGTAACATTCGTGTATCGTGTAGGTACACACGATAGGATCATGGCAATCATGAGAATGTAGAAACGTTTGCTGAAGGGTGTGGAGAAAATTACTGTACAGTTCGATCGAGGAAAGAATGGATTGGTGGACTTTGTACATGTACCATTGGAAACTTTGTATTACTTTTGTTTCTCTCAGTCTTTAATTGCATAAAAACGTAGAGATTAATAGGTATCTTATTAGTTTTTATTTCGAAGTACCTGTTATTTATTGTTATCTGATCAAGCCCTGATGCTTACTCGATCTCATTTTTAGTTATTACCTAACAAAGTAGAAGAAGAACTCAGTAGTGAGAAGTCTTCCAAGTCGATCTTTTTTGGATCCAACTATAGAGTCATGTTATAAACATCGGAGCATTTTACCCAGGCTGCCCCATGCTCAGGAGTTAGCGATAATCGATACATATTTATACCGCGCATTGACAGTAATCGTGTCAGTATATAAATCCGCTAGACCATATGGTAGTTTTTGGTTTCTAGAAAACGTTGTATCCTGAATTATCTACTATCACCAGTAGTAAACAGCACTTACCCACATGTATCATCAGTACTAAGTTTTTAGTTTGCACACTGTTGCATTTGCACTGCGAAATACGAACCGCAAGCTCATGGGAAAAGTATTATACAGGATGTCCCATGATCCATGGCGTAACCGAGAGAACAGCGACTCCTTGTTAAAACATACGTTGAAAATATTTCGTTAAACGTTGGATCGATAAGTTTATTAAAAATAGATCGTTTAATGCTCAGAAGCTCAACCAAACAAATTTTATCCCCATTTTTCGATTTATTTCTTCGGAATAGATCTCCTTTCGGCCACGGATTTTAGGACATCCGGTACGAAGAAGCCTTAGTTTCAAAAAGCAACGAACACCTCGAAAGAGAACGACGCACATCTTTAAGATATCACCATGGATCGATCGGACCACGTGATCGTGGCGTAACATCCGTTCAGGAATCCGAAATTCGCCATGAGTTCGTAAGTTTGTCGAAGAACGTTTTTGTATGCGACCGTTGACAGAGTTTCCTTTATTTACACGAACGAGACGTGTCTGAGGTGTCATTTTAAGAAAAAATAAAAGGAGAAAAATGGAATTAAAAAAAAAACGCCAAAACAAAAGGAAATGAAATAAAGAAATCGTCACGTTATAACGAAAGTTCCCACCGATGGTTAACTTTTCATACTTGCACCGAAATTTTGATATGAAAAGATCCGCATCAATGTGACCCCCCACTTATTTTTAATATGTATACGTCCTTACTGCATCCGCTGAACAAGACGGACTTGAGTCACGCGACGGGCAACATTTACGTCAATCACGAGCAGTTCTTCGCGCACTGTTTAGTTTTCCAAGCTCTGTATTGCTCTGTTAAAGTTAAGCGATTTACGCGACCTTGTGATTACCGATGGTCGCGTAAAAGAAATCCACGCAAAGGGCTGTCGTAGTCGAATCGAATTCAATTAGCCGTTTAAGGCCACCGAGGCCCACCATCCATCACACAACCCTTTAAGCGCCACAGCTGCAGGTACAAGTCCTCTGAGAGAGTTACTCTCGGAAAGGTAAACTAACGTGGCGCAAAAAGTCCTGTCCCACGAGCTTTACAAGTCCAAGTTGCCTCGAACGACCATTTGAATTAATTCGATTATCGCGTTTCCGGATCATCGCAGAATGCTGTTTTGGCGTTAAATAGAGTGCCTACACGTATGTAAATTGGTCTGTCAGGCATTACCGTCGGAAGTTGCTCGATTGTATTGTTGTACAGCAATTGTTATTTCGGCATATGTATTATTAAACCGACCGAGGCGTTTGTAGCCATTCGCGCCAATCGTGACTGAGTTCGAAAATGTTCGGCCTAGCTCAAGTCAGACTACACGTACGTTGATCCATAGATGGTAGTCTCTCTTTCCGTTGATATGTTATTCTGTTTCGTTCACGAGCGTAATATTAAAAGTTATGCTTCTATAAAAGAAAGAAAAAAAAAAGAAAAAAAATAATAAGAAGAAAACGCTATGTCACGTGTGAACATTTTGCGACTGAGTATTATATGATAACGACACGATATACATAGTGTGCAAATCGTATCAGTATTGTTTTCTCTCTTACGATGAGATTGTTGATTTGTCGTCTTAGTGCTGAACAGTCATTCTGTACATGTGCAATGCAAATTTTGTTACCGAGTACATTGATGATTATCAGACATTTGTAAATAAAGAAAGAAATTCTACACGGCAACGGTACTTTCATTCCTCGTCTTTTGTTTGTTTTATGACACGTTCACGATAAGTTTATTAACTTTGTATATGCTAGGAGCTTATTCATAGGCTTCTAGATTACAGTGTTTGTTTATTAAAACCTATTGACTGTGTTAATTAACGTCTATATACAATGCGCAATTTAAGGAAAGAAACGAGGCTTTTGGTATACCTAGTAACAGTATGCACAAACTGATATCATCCTATATTAGCATAGTAACGTAGAATTTCCTTTTCAAAATTGTAAATTCTTTCTAAATGTTGAGTTAAATATATCACTAGGCTATTGCGTCTTATTATCTATGTGTTACACCATGCGTTAATATAATGTATGTAGAACATATATTTCATAAATTAGTATTTTGCAAGTGCATAAAATCCACAGGATACATCGATCCATAACTTGTTAATCATTACTTTATACTCATTAAATATAGCAACGTTATTTATTTATTTGAAGGAGCTATTTCTTTCGCAAGATTCAGTTAATTTAATGCAGGATGAATTCGAACGCTTAGGGAGATAAGATAAACAAAATTCAGCAGATAAGGCTATATATAAATTCGTGACCTGGAATATTCACCAGAATGCGTGAGATTATGAGACGCGTTCAAGCCGGTTTAGAGTATTTATACATGGAATGGGTAGGAGCTGCCATCTGTTGGTAACTATCTCCACGAAGTAATGTAACACTCGAGCTGTTTCTATCGTAGTCACTCACAATAATCTTTTCAAACGAACTATCGAGTAGTCATTTCCTACAACACTTTGTTTCACGGTTCATCGATAGTGTTTTCTAATTCCTTGCGGTTGTGAATCCTCTCGGAATGCACATTGGCATTATATTTTAGAGCGTAACGCCATTCACACTCTGGTAAGTAAAAAATTAAAACATTGTTGGGAATATTCGCACATAAAACATTGTGATAAGATATGTTACTAAAATAAGTGTCGTAACAGAGTGAATCGAGTTGAACAAGTATAAAGTACAAAATGAGTGTGAAAGAAGTGGAAAAAATGTGAGAAATGCGTGAAAGATGACTGTTGTTGAAAGAGGAAATATGTATGAGAGTAAGTGAAACAGAGCAAACGAGGGAGCAAGAGAAAGCGAAACACCTGTTTTGTACAGGAAAATGTTGTTCCTGATAATAATAGATACTGATATATGTATTGAACTTTGTAAACCGATCTGTATTTGGAAACCATGACTTCATTTTCTTCATCCTAAGTCCTTGGTAAGACATTTTTGGAGTTAATTACAAATGTATTTGGCTATGAGAACAAAACCTTGTTTGTAATGAATGATAAATAAAGAAATTCCTAATTTATTATATTCATATAGTGAAGACAAAGACTGTATATAATATAAACAGAATTTTTTTCAGATAAACATGTTCACTATTATTGCAAATCCTATTAAGGGATTTATAAACAATTGGTTCCAAGACAAAGAACCATGGCAGATAGTTACTATAACAAGTACAACCGTCCTTGCCACAGTTTGGATGTGGAATTTTGTCTTCCAAGATGAAAGTATGGTTCTTATTTAATATAAATTTATATACCTGAGCTTTGGTTACGATAAGTGAAACTCATAACTTTTTCATAGGTCTTATACAAAGAGGCAAAAAGCAACTTTTTAGTTTAAGGAACTATATACCAGCCATTCGAGATAAAATTAATGAAGAATTGAATAATATTAATGCATCATTTGAGAAAGAAGCTTTGCAAAGGCTACAGGAAGTGCCATTTATTGTAAAGCTTCCAAATGATGGCATGGAACCTGATGAAATATTAAAAATAGTAAAGAAGTGTGTTCAGTTAGGTACATAAAAATTAATATAAATAACATTACTTTATGTATAACAGATAGGGAAACACATAATCTTTGTTTAGGTGGTTATGACTGGAAGAATGGTAAAGTATCTGGTGCTGTGTATAGGGTTGATACAATATTATTAGAATTAATGGGAGATATTTATGGAATGGCATCATATACAAATCCCCTACATCCAGAAGTATTTCCTGGTATATGTAAAATGGAGGCAGAAGTAGTTAGAATAGCCTGCCATTTGTTTCATGGCGATGAAAATTCCTGTGGCACGGTAAATTAATTTTAGCTTTAAGTATTACTTGGTAATGAAACTAGTTCAAAGCATAACTTAATTTTCTTAGATGACTACTGGCGGTACAGAGTCAATTTTATTAGCATGCAAAACATACAGAGATTATGCTAGATCTGTGAAGGGCATTAAACATCCAGAAATGGTGATGCCTGTAACAGCACATTCTGCTTTTGATAAGGCTGCACAGTACTTGAAAATTAGAATACGTTTAGTACCTGTTAATCCACATAGTTATACGGTTTCTATTAAACAAATGGAGAAAGCCATCACAAGAAATACAATAATGGTGAGGTATATATGCTTCTTTCGCTATTGAAGTAATACCAAGGAACACTGTATTACTGTAACATCTATTACAGTTAGTAGGATCAACTCCCAACTTTCCATATGGAACAATGGATAATATCGAATCCATTTCTGAGTTAGGAGTAAAGTATAACATTCCAGTCCATGTTGATGCTTGTCTTGGTGGATTTCTAATTTGTTTCATGCCAGAAGCAGGTTTTGCTATGCCACCTTTTGATTTTAAACTACCTGGTGTTACAAGTATATCTGCTGATACACACAAGGTAAGTAACATTAAAATTATACATTCAATTTTATTTGTTTCAGCATAAATATACAATTGAACTCTTTTTCTAGTATGGATATACTCCAAAAGGTTCCTCCATTATTCTTTATAGAAATAAAACATTCAGACATCATCAATACACTATAACAACCGATTGGCCTGGTGGTATTTATGGTTCTCCAACAGTTAATGGTTCAAGAGCTGGTGGAATTATAGCATCATGTTGGGCTGCATTGATGTACTTTGGTTATAATGGATATGTAGAAGCGACACAAAAAATTATAAATACCACGCGGTACATCGAACAAAAGTATGTTTCGGAATTTTAATTTTGTCACTGTTATTATATTGATATAACCGCGTATGTTTAATTAATTCCAGATTGAGAAAAATGGACGGCATCTTTATTTTCGGAACTCCAGCTACTTCCGTGATAGCGCTAGGTTCGAATGATTTTCATATCTATAGACTTTCGGAGGCTTTGAATTCTAAAGGATGGAGTTTGAATACACTTCAATTTCCTTCGGGTATACATCTTTGTGTTACGTACGTTCACACTGAGCCTGGCGTGGCAGATCAATTCCTGAAAGATGTTGAAACCGAATTGAGTATACTCTTGAAAAATCCGGAGACCCATGTTGAAGGAAAGGTTAGTATAACTGATATGGGTAATTGACTAAATGCGATGTAAAAATAATAATGCATCCTTTTTTAGCTGGCAATTTATGGAATGAGTCAAAGTTTACCTGATAGAAGCATTGTTGGCGACTTTACAAAATGTTTCATAGATTCGATGTATTATACACCCAAAAATCAAACGGTCATTAACGGTTCAAAATAATTCAATTAATACAGTTTCTTAAAAATATTAATTCTCATGAAAATTATTTTTCATTTTTAGAGTAGTCTAGTATCATTTGAAAATGACTTTGTTCTAATGGATGTCTGAATTTATTATAATGATTTTGTTCGTGAAATAGGAAATAGGAAATAGGTAATTTCTGGGTTGCTCAAATGATATACACATATGTACAAATCTAAAATGAATATAATGTTGTGAATGTTTGCTAACAGTATTACCCTAATAATACGTCCAGCTATAATATTTCATAAAAACAAACATTGAACATATATTTTATACAATGAAATTTTTTACCTCTTTAAGAAAACATTTTCTAAGTACAAACATTTGTTCGATTAAGAAGATAATTGTAACAGATATCACGGAAACAATTGACAGAGAACGATATACACGTACCTACGCCTACACCTGCAATTACATCTGCCGTACATTTTACATCGGGTTTCCGTTATGTTCATTCGTACAACTGATATTTGTAAAATGAGAATATTATAATAAAAATGTTTCATTTGTATCTTATTAATAGTCTTTACGCATTGAAGCGACGCAGATGTCGAATTATTTAAAAGTAATGTTATCGTAACTATACTTTCTTGATAAATATGTATGACGTCTGAGTCAGCTAAAATATATTTATTTAACACAAGGACAGCTGTTGTGCACTTGCCGGCGAAGATCCGTACCTAAGAATATAAAACGTTAAGGTTTCTCCCAAAGACAAATAAAAAGATTTATTTTAAGAAAAATTTTAAATTTGATTTCAATTAAACATTGTGTTTTGGCTCTTTTGGAGTATTCTATATCAATCTACATACAAATATTGATTTTAAACGTTGGTTTCATATACTTGCCGTGTAATATTTGCATGAATGGGTAATTGCAGTAGAGTTTGTGTCTCGTTTGCGGTTAGCGAAAATTGGGAAAACAGACAGTCTGTCTACCACATCACGTTCATAAGTGACAGGTATTAATATATGCTATGGTATGAGGACAATTTTATCGAGCTTGGGGAACTAGTTATGAGGGCAAATACCGACACGACCGCGCGAATATCACCGACATTTTTACTCGTCCTTCTCACCATCCGTTTATGACTCCTCTAAAAGAAATTAGCTCCTGAGTTTTTTCAAGAGTACGATGACCAATGTAACGCAATGATTTCAAGAAAATAAATGTTGTTCCACTGTTCTACAATTTTAGTGGTAAACTAGAAGATAAGTACAAAAATATGGTATTCCATTTAAAATAACGGAGATCATTTTCATATCTTGAAAGTGGTTCCACCCATGAATAAATAGATACCATCACTACGAGCTGCTTTGCTACCATAAAACTTTTTTTGATCATTTTCCTGCCCTTATAATTGTGAAAACAATCCAAATATAAAGATATATATAATCATTATTTTAGTTTATTCTACA